GGGTGGCACTAATCCATTCCCGAAGGATCAAGGAGGTGCCACTACAGGAGAACAGCATGAGGGGGTGGCACTAATCCATTCCCGAAGGATCTAGCCTGTGACCGAGTTACCTCCCACCAGGGTCCACCTCCAGCTTTGGGGATCACAGTTGGACATGAGACTTGGTGGGGACACAGATCCAAACCATAGCAAAGGGCAGGGCCTGTGGGGAAGAGGGCTCCGAAGAGCCTGGTGGGTTTGGAAGAGAGGGAGTCTTGATCAGGGGTTCTGGGGCGTTTAGACCAGGGTCGGCAAGCTTTTCTGGTAGCTAGTAAAGAGTCTTATCTTTGTGGGCCACACGCTCTCCGCCAGCTGCTAACTCTGCAGTAGGAGCCTGAGCTCAGCACAGTCCATCAGAGAGAACCAGCGGCGCCCTGTCCCACAGAGCTCACTCACAGGCCTGCTGGGAGTGGGCTTGGCCGGGTGGTATTGTGACCTACAGTCACTTGGAATTTTAAAAATGTATTTTTAGGCTGGGCATGGTGGCTCACGCCTGTAATCCCAGCACTTTGGGAGGCCAAGATGGTTGGATCACAAGGTTAGGAGTTCAAGACCAGCCTGGTCAACATAGTGAAACCCCATCTCTACTAAAAATACAAAAATTAGCTGGGTGTGGTAGAGAGGCTGAGGCAGGAGAATCTCTTGAACTGAGGAGTCGGAAATTGCAGTAGACGAGATCATGCCACGGCATCCCAGCCTTGGCAACACAGTGAGACTCCGTTTCAAAAGAAAAAAGAAAAAAAATATATTTAAAAATCTATTCTAAATTTTAAATTGGCGTCTTGGGTAGAATTCCACAGACAATTCTTGAGGCCATATCTTAACCACTTCCACAGGTTACTTACTCTATTTGGTGGTTAACTCTGCTTGTTATGACATGGTGAAGTTGAACAGCAGGTTATGCCCCTAATATGTTTTGTAGATAGAATTAGATTAATTTTTTTGCCACGATGTTCTGCTTATGTTGCGTAACCATTCCATTTTTCAGGCTGAATAACTATAAAAAGTCTTGGCTGTACAAAGCGGGGTCTCTGCTTGTGATCGGACATCTCCTGGTGAATGCCGCCTACTCGGCCACCGCCCTGTATGTGTCCCATTTCAACTACCCGGGCGGCGTGGCGATGCAGAGGCTACACCAGCTGGTGCCCCCCCAGACAGGTTGGTGCTGGGGGCTCTGGCTGGGGACTGTTGTGGCTCTGACCGGGGGGATGGGGTCTGACAGCAGGCATGGTTTTCCTAGATGTCCTTCTGCACATTGACGTGGCAGCTGCCCAGACAGGTGTGTCTCGGTTTCTCCAAGTCAACAGCGCCTGGAGGTAGGACCCACACACAACACGACCCTCCTGGAGGCCATGTGAGGGCCCCGTGCCACCCGGGGTGGGGAGACAGGACGGTGCAGGGCAATGTGGACCCTGGGCAGGACCACTGGCTCTCATCCTGCAGGTACGACAAGAGGGAGGACCTGCAGCCAGGGGCAGGCATGCTGGCATACACGCACATCCTCATGGAGGCGGCCCCTGACCTCCTGGCCCTCTACAGGGACACGCACCGGGTCCTGGCCAGTGTTGCAGGCACCACAGGTGTGAGTCTGAACCTGACCCAGCTGCCCCCCTTCAACGTCCACCTGCAGACAAAGCTGGTGCTTCTGGAGAGGCTCCCCCAGCCATCCTGAGGTGCACTGGGCAGCCCTCAGCAGCCACAGGCCCTCCCAGAGCTGCTGTCGCTCCCAGTTTCCGCACAGTTGTGACAATTCAGAGAAGCAAATCAAAGCACTGTGCACATGGCTCCGACAGACACCAGAGCAGGGCCAGGGCCTCCTCTGTGGCTTCACCTGGGGCTGGCAGCGTCAGAGAATGAGGGGCCCGGGTCTTGTTGGCCCCCCGGGAGCCATTGGCCAGGGTGGCAGTGGCCTCAGGCCTTCCTGTAGGTAGGCAGGGTGGGTGACATAGTTGTCTGGCATCCAGACCAAGTGCCATTCGTGACTAATTGGGAGCAGCAGGCCCACCCGGGCACCTGTCTGTGAGGCTACGTGTGTCCTGGCCTCCTGGGGGATCTGTATTTTGGCAGCATCCTGCACCTGCTGCCTGAGGGTCTCTTGGGGCATCTAAGACAGCACCCCCTCTCAGGAGACCATGGTGGCCCGGGCTGACCCCCATCCGCCACCGCCCCTGCAACTGGTGTATTCATAGGCATCCCATCTCCATCACAGATGAAATTTTAGGAGATAAACACGTTCAAAAAGGAATGAGATAAAAAGAATAAGGCAATAAAATGTTGATTGGAACCTTGATATTACAGAAAAGAATGAGAATGGAAACTTTACTGTTTCCCGTGTGACAGCTTATCACACATTATAAATGCATGGTCAAGGGACAGTTTGGTGCTGTCAGCTTCCCTGACCATGCATGTATAATACACCAAAGTGCGTGTGGTGGTGCTGGGCACTGGAGCCAGGGGACTGGGTGCTGATGCACACACATGCACACACGCTCACGTGCACATACCACACACATGCACACACCACACACCATGCACACGCTCACATGCACACACCATGCACACTTATGTGCACACACCACTCACCATGCACACATGCTCACGTGCACACACCACACACACACCAACCATGCACATGCACACAACACACACCATGCACACACATGTGCATAAGGACACTTTTTTCCTGAGCTCTTTTTGAGAGTGTGTGATTGTTGGCCCAGGTGCCTTGGCACTGCCTCTCCACCTGGTGCCTCCTGTTGTCCCCACTGCATCCGGTGAACATTCGTGCAGACATTTCCTGACTCAACAGAGGCCAGATGGTAAGGCTGGAGAGCAGGCTTCCCGGCCCCTGAATCCCGCAGATGGCCCCCTCCTCCCCTGTCCGTCCACCTGTGTATCTCAGGTATTTACTGGTTATCCGCACTCATGTCACTGGGCACGTATGGATTGCTTCCCAACTCCAGTGGTCTGTGAACCGCTCCTGTCTTTAATGATTCTGGTGTTCAGAGATTTGCTAGTGGGAGCCCTGCCACACTCCGCCGGTACGCTATGCGCTGTGTCCTCTCCTTCGAGCACCTCCTCACAACCAGGCATGGCAGGGTGTCCTCTTGAGCCTCTGGCCTCGGCTGTTGCTCTGCGGAGCTTGGCCCCCTTTGGTAGGGAATGTATTAGAGACCGGGATCTCAACGCAGGTCTGCTCTATGCCACTGGGTGCCTGGGCTTTAGGCCCTTTCTGTGGACAGGCTGGGGAGGACGGGGGTGTACCGATGTGCAGACACACGCACGTATGTAATAATGCGTATACAGATCTGAAACAGCACAGCTGTGCCCGCATCTCGGATTCCGTCTTGCTTTGCAGGGTTCTCCCTGCACCCCTGTCCCTCCATCTCCACCCCCCCCATCTCCACCCTGAGGACCGTGACCCCCATCAACAGCAGCGTCCTCACACATCTGCTGGGGAGTCCAGCACACGCCTGCTCGGGAGCTCCAGTGCTGCTTTGGCACAGGATTGCAAAAACAAACCCGCCATCAAGAGGTTGGCATTTGGGCAGAGTTCACTCCTCGCCCACAACCGCAGGTGCATTGCGTGCTGCGCTGATGAGTTCCTTGGATTGGCTTCTCCACCGGCAGTGTGGTGGTGACTTCGTTGGAAATAGAGCTGGGTTCGCCCTTCCCGCTGGCTTTCAGTCTTTGCCTCCCACCCGACGCCCCATCCTGTTGGGTTTGTAGAGCATGACCGTGCTTCTAGATGTCAAAACTCCTAAGGGCAGGTGCTGGGAGCCACTCCCTCTGGTACCTCCTCCCCGATTTTTGGTAATGATCATAATTGTCTTCTGATTTATCTTGCGTGTGTTTAATTTTGTAAAGATAAATGTATATACATGTATTCCCTTTTTTATTAGACGTAGCTTTCTTTATATGCTGTTTTGCACTTTGGCTTTTTGGTTTGGTTTTAGAGATAGGGTCTTGCACTGTAAGCCAAGCTGTAGTACAATTGTGCAATCCTAGCTCACCACAGCCTCCATCTCCTGGGCTCAAGCCATCCTCCCACCTGAGCCTCCCAAGTAGCTGGGACCACAGGTGTGTGCCACCAAGCCCAGCAGATTTTTTAAAGTTTCTTTTTAGAGATGGGGTCTCACTGTGTTGCCCAGGATGGTCTTGAACACCAGGCTTCAAGCAGTCCTTCTGCCTTGGCCTCCTCAAGTGCTGGGATGACAGGCGTGAGCTCCCAGCCACACACTGGTTTGTTCACGTAATAGTCACTCCTGGAAATCGTAGTGTCACTTCTTGAGCAACTCTCCTCTGTGTGGGCAGTTCGCTTATTTCCAATATTTTGTAAATTCAAATAATGCTGCCATGCATAACCGAGTACCTTTGTATTTTCATTTGTTTGAGGCATGTCTTCAGGGTGAATTCAGAGGTAGGCAGCGCTGGGCCACAGGGGTGACTGCACCTGGGTTGGGTGGGGTATCGTGACATTCCCTTCACAGGGTGGTACCATTTTGCAGTCCCACAGGGTAATGGTGGTTCAGTGTAGTTTTGATCATTTTTCTTATGAGTGAAGTTGAATGTCTTTTCATAGGTTATTATTTTTTTTGTATTTTTTGTAGAGATGGGGGTCTCACTGTGTTGCCCAGGCTGGTTGTGAACTCCTGAGCTCAAATAACCTGCCTGTCTTGTTCTTCCAAAGTGCTGGGATTACAGGTGTGAGTCACTGTGCCCGGCTAGGGTTAATTTTTTAATATGTTGTGAGGTGTAGGTCAGTTGTTTTTTTTTTTTTTTGCCTATGAATATCCAATTGTTCTAACATCATTTTGTTGAAAACATTATCCTCAGTGGGGCATGCCTGTAGTCCCTGCTACTAGGGAGGCTGAGGCAGGAGGATCCCTTGAGCCCAGGCAGTTGAGGCTGCAGTGAGCTGTGATTGCACCACTGTATTCCAGCCTGGGTGACAGAGAGAGACCCTGTCTCTTAAGAAATAAAGATTGTTTTTTCACCACTGAATTGCCTTTGCACTTTTCTCAAAAATCAATTCACTCAGCCAGGCATGGTGGCTCATGCCTATAATCCCAGCACTTTGGGAGGCCAATGTGGGTGGATCACCTGAGGTCAGGAGTTCAAGACCAGTCTGGCCAACATGGTGAAAACCCATCTCTGCTAAAAATACAAAAACGACAGCCAGGCACGGTGGCTCACACCTATAATCCCAGCATTTTGGGAGGCCAAGGTGGGCAGATCACAAGGTCAGGAGATCGAGACCTTCCTTACTAACATGGTGAAACCCTGTCTCTACTAAAAATACAAAAAGTTAGCTGGGGGTGGTGGCATGTGCCTGTAGTCCCAGCTACTCAGGAGGCTGAGGCAGGAGAATCACTTCAACCAGGGAAGCAGAGGTTGCAGTGAGCCGAGATCACGCCACTGCACTCCAGCCTGGGCAACAGAGCAAGACTCCTTCTCAAATATATATATATATATTTATATGCAAAAGTTAGCTGGGCGTAGTGGTGGGCACCTGTAATCCCAGCTACTTGGGAGGCTGAGGCAGGAGAATCACTTGAACCCAAGAAGCAGAGTTTGCAGTGAGCTGAGATTATGCCACTGCACTCCAGCCTGGGCGACGAGCAAAATTTCATCTCAAAAAAAACCTGTATGATTCCAACTGTTTGACATTCTGGAAAAGGATTGCACTGGCCCACCTAGCCCTTCATAGCCATTGCCAACACCAGCCTATCCAGTGGGTCATCCCACCATTGCCAGTGCCATTGCCTCCACCACACTGGCTGTCCAGGGGCCAACGTGCCTGGCCCAGCACCGTAACTACCAGTATCCAAGTAAGCCACTGGGAGGCCCCAAAATCAGCCCACCTAGACCTGCTAACACTGGTGCCATTGTAGGCTGTCCTGGGGCCCAAGGCCAGGCATACTCAGCCCACTGCTGTCACCACTGAGGCCTGAAGACTGGCCTACCTGGATCTAAGTCCCCAGTAAAACATTGCCACTGGGCATAATGTCTCATGCCTATGATCCCAGCACTTTGGGAGGCTAAGGAGGGCAGATTATTGGAGGTCAGGAGTTTGAGACCAGCCTGGCCAACATGGCAAAATCCCATCTCTACAAAAAATACAACAATTAGCCAGGTATGTTGGTGCATGCCTATGATCCCAGCTTCTTGGGAGGCTGATGCAAAATTGCTTGAACCTGGGAGGTGGAGATTGCAGTGAGCCAAGATCACGCCACTGCACTCCAGGCTGGGCAACACAGCAAGACTCTGTCTCAACAAACAATAAAATGTTGCCACAGCCTCTACTAATTTCACCCTAAGCCACAGAAGAAATCACAGATACCGCTGACACCGTTTACAGCTGAAGAAATCTTACAGAGACTATACTATTGCATTCACCCAGAATAAAAGCCAAAGTGCCCTACCCAACCAGCACCATAGAAACATCTTCAGGAAAAGTCCTCCTCTATGAAAGCAGATTCAAAAAATTGGAGGAAGTGACTGTTACACCAAATGAGCAGATACCAACATAAGGACAAAGGGAACATGAAAAAGCAAGGAAATGTGACACCTCCAAAGGAACACAGCAATTCTTCAGAAATCCACTGGGGTGCACCTGTAGTCCCAGCTTCTCAGGAGGCAGAGGTGGGAAAATTGCCTGGGCCCAGGAGTTCAAGGTTGTATATAGTTCAAGTGAGCTATGATGGAACTGCTGCACTCCAGCCTGGGTAACAGAGTGAGATGCTGTCAGAAAGAAGAAGGGTAAGGAAGGGAGCTGTCAGAAAGAAAGGGGAAGGGGAAGGAAAGAGGAGAAAAAGAGGAGACGAAGAACGGGAGAAAGAAGGAGGGAAAGGAAGGAGAGGAAGGAAGAAGAATTCATGAAATCCAGGAAGAAGAATCCAAATTATTGATCGTAAAGAACCTCAGAGAAATAGAAAATGATTCTGAAAAGCAATGTAAAACTATCAGAAAAACAATTCAGAATATGAATGAAAAACATGGAAGAAGTAGATATCAGAAAAAATAACCAAACGTACTAAATTTAAAAATTCCGGAACTGAATAAGTCATTGAATAAAACACAAAATACATCAAAAACTTCAGCAATAGACTAGATCAAGCAGAAGAACTACAGAACTTGAAGGTGGGTCTTTTGAAATAACCCAGTCAGACAAAAATAATGAAAAAAGAATAAAAAACAATGAGCAAAACCTTTGTGACACATGAGACACCGTAAAGAGTCCAGAGTTTTGAATTGTTGGGGCCCAGAAGGCAAAGAGAGAATGAA